GCAGCGAGCACACGCATTCGCTGATTTCAACGTATAAATAAGACGCCTTAGAATGTATGGTTCTCCCTCTTCAACACAGCTCAGGCGCCGCTGCTCTCAAAGGTCTCTGGCTGTTCTCATAAAACACTCGCTCCTCTAAATTTAAACGTTAAAAAGCCTATTAACTCGTCAAAACGTCAGTTGTCACCTAACGCATGTTGGTAAGAAGGAACTAGCGTGGGGGGAAGCAAGATCTTTACGAGAGGGGAGAGCTGATTTTATTCACGGCCCTGTGTCTGCTCATATCGCTCCACATGGGTTTTCCCGTCCTTTTAAAAAAAAAAAAAATGGATTTCAGAGAGGAAGGGAGAAGGAGAGAGAGACAGAAACATCCACGATGAGAGAGAATCACTCATCGGCTGCCTCCTACACCCCTCACCCCCACACTGGGGATCAAGCCCGCAACCCGGGCCTGTGCCCTGACCGGGAATCGAACCGTGACCTCCTGGTTCCTAGGCCGACGCTCAACCACTGAGCCACCCCAACACTATGACAGAGCATGCCTGCACCCAACACGGCCGGCCGCTCCCAAGCTCACCGACGCAATGACCACGACCGACCTTAGAATGACCTTCGGGCTAATGGGGCGGGCCCATGAAGACTGCGGTGGACACCCCTGTGCCTGCTTACGGGGAAGGCAGAGACGAGGAATACGAGACAGAAAATTCTGATCGAAACGGAAGCGGCAGAAGCATCGTCTGCGTCTCCCATGCTCCCCGGGGGTTTCCCACGCCCAGGGCTTCCCACTCGAAAACGGCCCTGGGTCCTCCTCCTGGAACCCACAGCCGGCTGCTCACCGGCTCCCGTTTCTCAGCGGCCGACGCGGGAGCTGGGAGGAGACCCGGGCAACCTTTAGACAGAGTTCGGCGCAATCACTCGCCGTCCTTCAGGCACGGACAACAAGGACACGGAAAGAAAACACGAGACTCTTCCACTGCTTCCCGCAGAGGACTAAAGACGGAGCCCGCTGACCGCTAGCACGCCACTGACCTTTGACTTGGAACCAGGGGTTTGAGGAGAGAAAAACACACACACACACACACACTCACACACACACACACGCACACGCTAAGCGTGGATGTATTTTTAGCACCGGCTGTGATTAATGTACGGAAGCCAGATCCTTTCCCCCCCGAAGGACCAACAGACTCTGTCCCAATGCCGAGCAGCCACGGGCAGAGCGTGTCCTGGGACCATGATAGAGTGCCACGCACTCCCCACACAGACGCCAGGGGTCACAGCCAGCCTCGCGGGGGTCAGGAGACAGACCGTGGGGATGGGACCCCCTCAGTGCGGTTCACAGTCAGGGGGACCCCGACCGGGGGGGGGGGGGGGGGGGGCGTCACCGTCTCCCTCCCAAACCCAGAGACAGGAACGGGCCCCACAACGCGTCCCCACCACGCAGGTCCCGCCCGCACCGCGGATCACCACGCCGCCAAAGCCATGGGCCAGGTATTGGCGGCTCCACCTGACACCAATCGGGTGTCCCTACCACCAACCGGGTGTCCCTACCACCAGTGTTTCCCAAACTTCTGGCACACGTGTCCCCCTTCTGTAGCTTTCGTAACGCCGAGTCCCCCTCGTCCTCATGAGAACGCAGAATGAGGCGCCGCTGAGCGCGGTGCAGTGCCTGTCCCCACCAAACGCCGGCGCCGCGCGCACCCCCACCAGACTCGTCCCGCACCCCTGGGGGTGCGCGTCCCGCACTTTGGGAGACACTGTGTATCCCTACCACCAACCGGGCATCTCTACCAGACCGAGCGAGGGTCCGATCCCAGGCCTCCACGCCGGGCGGACAGAAAGCTGAGGCGAAGGGCGGGCGAGAGGGCAGCCCCTTCCGATCCACAGGGAAGCTCACCCCCCCAATGTCTGCCACAGGGACCGACCCCTCACTGCGAGGGACAGGACAGGGAGGTGTGCGAGGAAGGAGGAGAGGGGTGGGGGGTGGGGGGAGATTGGGGAGGAGGAGGAGGGGGTCTGGAGCGAAAGAGACTGGATCATAAATTCCCAAAGGTCCCAGAGGACACCCACCGCCCGGCCTCTCCCTAAACGGTGCCAACCTGGGTCCGAGCCCTCGGCCAGGGTTAGGGTTACAGGAGGGCGGCCAGGCACAGGGCTCCGCACGCTCCCGGGGCTTGGGGGAGGGGCGCTCCCAGGGCTTAGGGGGGCTCCCAGGACTTGGGGGGCACTCCCAGGGCTTTGGGGTTGGGGTGGGGATTTAGGGGGGGGGACAGGCACCGGGGTGCAGGCTTACGCTGGCCGCTGGCCGCCCAGGGCTGGGGGGGCATTCCCAGGATTTGGGGGGCGCTCCCAGGGCTTGGGGGTTTGGGGGGACACAGGGGCGGGGAAGGGGCACCCCGGGGTTCAGGCCTTACATCTGCAGCTGGCCGCCCAGGACTGGGGGGACGCTCCCAGGGCTTTGGGGTTGGGGGTGGGGGTTTTTGGGGGGGGACCCAGGCCCCGGGGTGCGGGCCTTACGTCTGCAGCTGGCCGCCCAGGGCTGGGGGGGGCGCTCCCAGGATTTGGGGGGCGCTCCAGGGCTTTGGGGTTGGGGTGGGGGTTTGGGGGGGGTCCTAGCCCCCGGGGTGCGGGCCTTACGTCTGCAGCTGGCCGCCCAGGGCTGGGGGGCGCTCCCAGGATTTGGGGGGCGCTCCAGGGCTTTGGGGTTGGGGTGGGGGTTTGGGGGGGTCCCAGCCCCGGGGTGCGGGCCTTACGTCTGCAGCTGGCCGCCCAGGGCTGGTAGCCGTAGTAGCCGGTGATGCGCAGGATGCGCTCCTCGATGGAGCTGAGCCCCGCGGGCGCCCCGCCGCCGCCGCCGCCGGAGAGGGTGAGGTCCTCCACGGAGCGCGACCCCCGCAGCTCCTCCTTGATGGCCTCGTCCACCGCCAGCAGCCGGAGCTGCCGCAGCTGCGGGCTGATGTCCGACAGCCGCCGCGGGCTCACGTCCGGGGAGCGCCGCATGCCCCTGGCCGGGGGTGGGGTGGGGTGGGGTGGGGATGGGGATGGGGATGGGGATGGAGGGGGCGGTGAGGCTGGGTCGGAGGATCGGAGGCCTCGGGGGCGCGGACCGGCCTGCGGGGCAGGTGCTCCCCGTCCCCGCTCACCGCCCACCCCGCTCCCGGGTCCCGTCGCCGGTGCCCGGTGCCCGGTGCCCGGTGCCCGGTCCAAAGCGGGCGGCGAGGGCGCAGGCCGGCGGGACCCCCCGGCCCACTCCACCGCCCGGCCCCCCAGCGGACCGGGCCGCCCGCTCGCCCGTCCGCCCGCCCGTCCGCCCGCCCGCCCCGCGCGCTCCGGGCGCAACTCACGTGGCGCTGCCTTTGCCCCGGGGCGCGCCGCCCGGGAACTCCCGGATCCCCATCGGCGGCCGCGGCGCCCAGGGTCCGGGCGGAGGGGCCGCGGGCGGAGCTGCCGGCAGCCGCGGGGCCGGGGAGGAGGGCGCGCTGCCCGCGAGGGTACCCCCCTCCGTGCGCCCCCGTGCGCGCCCCCGCCGCGCGCCTCTCCAGCGCCGCCCGGTTCCCTCCCGTTCCCTCCGGCCGCGGCTCCGCTCCGGCTCCCGCTGCAGCCCGGCTCCCGGGGCCCCGGCCGCCGCCGCCCCGGAGCCTCGCCCGCACCTTCCCGCCGCCCGCGGGCGCCCGGATGCCCGGGGAGGGCGCGGGGCGCGGGGTGCGCGCTCTCCGGGCACCTGAGCCGGGCGCGCGCGCAGCCGGCAGCGCCGGGCCAGGTGGGGGCGCTGTGCCCCGCCCCGTGGCCGTGGCCGTGGCCGTGGGGGCGTGCACGGGGCTCGGGAGCGGCGCCAGGCACCGCCTCCTCCTCCGCCTCCGCCTCCTGGCCACGCCTCCCCCCACTGGCCAGGCCCCGCTGCTGCCCCAGGGTCAGCAGTTCAGGCCGTGTATTTTATTTTATTTTCTTCTTTAATATATTTTTATGTATTTATCCTTTAAAAATATTTTATTGATTTTTTCATAGAGAGGAAGGGAGAGGGATAGAGAGTCAGAAACGTCGATGAGAGAGAATCATCGACCAGCTGCCTCCTGCACACCCCCTAGTAGGGATGTGCCCGCAACCAAGGTCCATGCCCTTGACCGGAATCGAACCTGGGACCTTCCAGTCCGCAGGCTGACGCTCTATCCACTGAGCCAAACTGGTGAGGATTTTTTTAAAAATTTTATTTTAATGAGGTTCTTAGGAAACACCGTCCCACGCTTTTTGGTGAATCAAGAGGTCATCTATGTTTCCCGGCCGGCGTGGCTCCATGGCTGAGCATCAACTCAGGAACCAGGAGGTCACGGTTCAATTCCCGGTCAGGGCACAGGCCCGGGTTGCGGGCTCCATCCCCAGGGTGGGGCGTGCAGGAGGCAGCCGATCCATGATTCTCTCTCATCATGGATGTTTCTCTCTCTCTCTCTCCCTTCCTCTCTGAAACCAATAACAATAAAAATGTTTTTAAAAAACCACTGCAGGCCGAAACCGGTTTGGCTCAATGGATAAGAGCGTTGGCTTGGGGACTGAAGGGTCCCAGGTTCGATTCCCGTCAAGAGCATGTACCTTGGTTGCGGGCATATCCCCAGTAGGGGGCGTACAAGAGGCAGCTGATCGATGACTCTCTCTCATCGATGTTTCTCACTGTATCTCTCTCCCTTCCTCTCTGTACAAAAATCAATAAAATATATTAATAAAAATAAAAAAATAAAAAAACCACCGCAGGCACCTGAGAGCACACCGTTTATTGCCAGAGGACAGACACCTTTATTGCAGGGGGACTCGGCCGGCATCTGCCCTCCCGTGTGCCCTCCCCCTTCACCGTGCCCGAGTCCTTCGTACAGAGAGAAATCCAAAGAAACGGTCCCCACAGCCTCGGGGGGGAAGAGGTTTGCTGAGACCCGCCGACGGGACCCCTCTGTCCAGGAGAGGCATCTACAGACACCTCAGCGCGGACACACGTTCACGGGCACCGATTCCGTGTTATAAATAACAGGGTCGTCTCAGGTTCTACAAAAATAATCATTTGGGGCGGGCGCATGCAAACCCATCCACATCCGTTTATATAAAACACATCGCTGGGCTCCTCCTTGGAGAAAGGTCGCTACTGCGCCATCCGCTAAGTGATTTCGAGGCAACCCCCAGAGAAATGGACCTGTACTTTTTTTTTTAATTACATTTTCCTCCGGGTTAAAAGCAGAAAACCCGCTTCTACCCACAGCGGTCCTTCCACCCCACTAGCCGGTCCCGATCGGTGGGGTTCCGAGGAGTGACAGGCCCCGACCCCGTGTCCTCAGACACCAGACAGTCCTCGGAGCCAAAGCTCGCTTTGTTCCTCTTTCTGCTTTGTCTGGAATGCGACCGAATGTCTTCAAAATATCGGGCGTCTGTTGAAATGTTGTTTTTTGGCTTTTATCTTCTCCTAAAGACGCACAAAGCGAAGCCTCTCCCGTCCCGCCCCGCCCCGCCCGCCCCGCCCGCCGGGTGGCGCGGGAGGCCCGGGCGGCGCTCAGCGCTGCGGGGAGCCGTTGGCCAGGGCGGACGCCGGCGCCTCGGGGCCCACAAACGGCTCGCCGTCCGGCTTCTGGTCCTCCTTCCCGCCGGCCGCCTGGTCGGCGATGGAGGAGAAGGACAGCTGGTCGTGCTCCATGATGTGCAGCTGGTCCTCGTCCGGGTCCTTCTTCACGTAGAACATCTTCCGGAAGGCCTTCAGCTCCTGCAGCTCGCAGAAGGTCTCCAGCACCACCAGCATGGCCACCAGGCCCAGCAGCAGGTAGCCTGCGTGGGAGAACCGGGGCTCAGGGGGCGGCCGCGGGCAGAGAGCTCGGCGGGATGGACGCCCAGGTGTCTGTCCGTGAACCGAGCCGTCGCCACGGCTCCGGTGTCCGGGCGCACCTGGAACCCCAGGGCTCAAAGAGGGGGAACCCAGCCAGGCCTGAGCATCGACCTAGGAACCAGGAGGTCAGGGTTCGATTCCCCGTCAGGGCACAGGCCCAGGTTGTGGGCTCCCTCCCCAGGGTGTGGTGTGCAGGAGGCAGCTGATCCATGATCCTCTCTCATCATGGATGTTTCTCTCTCTCCCTCTCCCTCCTCTGCCAAAACCGGTTTGGCTCAGCGTTGGTCTGCAGACTGAAAGGTCCCAGGTTCGATTCCGGTCAAGGGCATGTGCCTTGGTTGCGGGCACATCCCCAGGAGGGGGTGTGCAGGAGGCAGCTGATGGATGTTTCTCTCTCATCGATGTTTCTAGCTCTCTATCCCTCTCCCTTCCTCTCTGTAAAAAATCAATTAAAATATATATATATATATATTTTAAAAAATGATCAGTCTCTGTCCACCTGAAATGGAGTGTGCCTATTTTCCACATATAAAATTCTGAAAATGGTTAACCTGGTCTACCTTTCAAAGGAGAACCAGATGGCCAACAAGATAAGCAAGTGTTTTAAGAAGTTTCTGGTGAGTGAGAGAGCAGGGCTGGCTGAACCAGGCTGCAATCCTGGGACTTGTTTGTTTGAGCTTAATACCCGCAATAAGGCAGAGACACATTTTTTAATTAAAGCCTGGTTCTCCGGTACATTCTGTGCACATTTTCACTCTGTAATTTATAATGCCTATTATGAGTAAGAAATGGACCTGTGCTTTTTCTTATTTTTTAATTACATGTTCATTGATTTCAGAGAGGGAGGGAGAGGGAGAGACAGAAACATCCATAATGAGAGCGAATCATCGATCGGCTGCCTTCCGCACGCCCCACATTGGGGATCGAACCCACAAAAGGGTCTGTGCCCTGACCGGGAACGGAACCATGATCTCCTTTGGGCTTGGTCCCGGAGGAGGGGGGGGGGGCAGACAGGAGGCAGCCAATTGATGATTCTCTCTCATCATGGATGTTTCTCTCTCTCCCTCTCCCTTCCTCTCTCTGAAATCACTTAAAAAAAAAAAGATATATTTTTAAAAATAAATAAAAATATAAAGAGGAATAATACAGCCCAAACCAGTTTGGCTCGGTGGATGGAGCGTCAGCCTGCGGACTGAGGGGTCCCGGGTTCGATCCTGGTCAAGGGCATGCACCTCGGTGGCGGGGTGTGCAAGAGGCAGCGGATGGATGATTCTCTCTCATCGATGTTTCTAGCTCTCTCTCCCTCTCTCTTCCTCTCTGTAAAAAAAAAAAAAAAAAATCAATAAGACATTTTTATTTTATTTTTTTTTTAAAGGAAGAATACGATTTCTACATAAAGCGTTCTGAAGGGGGAACCCCGGAGACGGGGATGGCGAACTGAAACCTCGTGTCCACGAGGAAGCCGTCGGGGCTTCTAGGAACAGGTGCCCGTGGGTGGAGCCGGGGGAGCGTGGCCTCGAACCCCTGAACCCCGGGTCCCGTGGGCGCGGTGCCGGGTACTCACAGGTGATGCCCAGCTTGTACAGCTCCCGGAAGCGCTGGTTGTAGCCCTCCCCGGGCACGTAGTCGCCCAGGCCGATGGTGCTCAGCGAGATGAAGCAGAAGTAGAAGGACTCCAGGAAGTTCCAGTCGTCCTCCAGCGCGGAGAACACGGCGGCGGGCACGAAGAAGAAGGCGGCGGCGGCCGCGGCGCCCAGCAGCAGGGCGTGGGCCAGCGCGGCGCGCCGGCGGGGCAGCCCCCAGCGCAGGTGCGCGTACAGCACCGGCCGCCGGCTCACCTGCAGGGTCACCCGCTGCACCACGGCCGTCAGGAACAGCAGCGTGAACGGGATGCCGATGACCGAGTACACGATGCAGAAGGCCTTGCCCCCGTCCGACAGGGGCACCGTGTGGCCGTAGCCTGCAGAGACGGGGAGGGGAGGGGACACAGGGAGTTAGTTCCGTGTGTGGGTTTGACATAGGTTTTTTTTTTAAAAAAAATATATATATTTATTGATTTTTTTAACAGAGTCAGAATCATCGATGAGAGAGAATCATGGATCAGCTGCCTCCTGCACACCCCCTACTGGGGATGTGCCCGCAACCAAGGGACATGACCTTGACCGGAATGGAACCTGGGACCTTTCAGTCCGCAGGCCGACGCTCTATCCACGGAGCCAAACTGGTTTCGGCTAAAATATGTTTTTATTGATGTCAGAGAGAGGAAGAGAGAGAGAGACCGAAACATCCATGATGAGAGAGAAGCATCAACCGGCTGCCTCCTCCTCCTCCTTCTTCCTTCTTCTTCTTCCTCTTACTGGGAATTGGACCCTGACCTCCTAGTTCATAAGTCAACACTCAACCACTAAGCCCTGACTTCTTTTCCGACCGTCTGTGCCATCATCTGGCTACAGGGCACATCTGAAACCATAACATCTTTCCTTTCCCGCCACTTCCGCAGGCTCTGAGACGCCACCGGCTCTACAAAACCAACAGTAAACACACACAGTAGGGCCGGCCGCCCCAGCGAGTGTAACGGTCAAACACACACAGTAGGGCCGGCGGTGCCAGCCCTACTTTCCACCAGGCCCGAGTCCCTGCCAGTTCCGGGGATCCACCCGGCCGCCAGAGGGAACCACCCACACACACACACACACACACACCCCGGCAGGGCTGAGGCTCAGCGGACGGCTAAGCCCTCACCAGCACGTGGCCCTGAACGACGAACATGTCTGAACAGGTCCATTCAGGAAAGAGCCAGCACCACGCATTTTTTCCAAAATTAGATTCTGAAAAAACAAACCACAAAAAACACCCACCCAAACCCTCCCGTCTGGGATTGTCATTGGAAGCGGGTTTGCAATCAGATTCCCAAGATCTTAACCTGCTCAGAAAGACAGGCCCCTGCGGAATCCTCCCGCCTCCGACCCCCCCCCCCAGGCCCCCCCCCCCCAATGATCTGCTTTGTTCCGGCTCTGTGCTGGGTCCACGTGGCAGGCAAGGCCGCCACCTGTGTCCGGAAAACATGCGGGTTACCCACGAGCCACGGGGCGGCAGATCCCACAGAAATCAAGTGCAACGTGTGCATCGAAATCCACGTGCCTCTTGCCCAAACTGGTGTGGGCTCAGTGGATAGAGCATCGGCCTGTGGACTGAAAAGTCCCGGGTTCGATTCCGGTCAAGGGCATGGAGCTTGGTTGCGGGCACATCCCTGGTAGGGGGTGTGAAGGAGGCAGCTGATGGATGTTTCTAACTCTCTATTATTCCTCTCCCTTCCTCTCTGTAAAAAAAAATCCATAAAATATATTTTAAAAAAATAAAAAAATAAACTCATGTGCCTCTTCCTGTGAGGTTCCAGGCCAGAGACGCTGAGGAGGGTGGAGCACCGTGGCTCTGAGCAGGGGTTCCTCACTGCTGTTTTATTTAAATATAGTTTTGTTGATTTCAGAGAGAAAGGGAGAGGGAGAGAGAGACAGAAACATGTACTTCTGTTGTGGGCACATCCCCAGTAGGGGGCTTGCAGAAGGCAGCTGATGGATGTTTCTCTCTCATCGGTGTTTCTATCTCTCTATCCCTCTCCCTTCCTCTCTGTAAAAAAAATCAATAAACACAGATGTGAGAGAGAGAGACACACGGATGTGTTGCCTCCTGCGCGCGCCCTGACTAGGGTCGGGGCTGGAGAGGAGCCTGCCACCGAGGTACGTGCCTGTCACGGGAATCGAACCCAGGAATTGGCCCGCAGGCCGATGCTCCATCCCTGAGCCACACTGGCAAGGGCAAAGGCGATGCCTTATTTGCCCACACAGGGAGTGGTCTTATTTGCTTTGTGGGCAGCTACCCAAAGCAGTGAGGAGAGGCAGACGGCAGCAGGGAACAAGGAGGAGCCGGCTGACTCCAGGAAGTCACAGCCGAGCAGGATGCTGAGGATGGCACACCGCGGGCTTCATTCAACCCCAGGGGCCAGGAATCCAGGCGACTCACAGCGTTGGACACACACACACACACACACACACCACACGCACGCACATACACCACACACACACACGCACACATGCACAAACGCACGCACACACATGCACGCGTGCGCACACACATGCACGCATACATGCGCACACACACATGCACGCACACACACATACGCACACACATGCACACACGCCCTGCAAGGCGGCCAGAATGCACCTGTCACCCGTGTGCACACACGCCCCTCCCCACAGAGCAGCATGCGGGGAGGACAGCTGTGTGGTGGCGTCTCCTGAGTCCCTCTCGCTCTGAGAACAGTGTTTGCTGGCATCGAGCGCTCCCCCGCGCCGGGCACCGCTCTGCCAGGCCGGTTTCCCCCCGGCTGGGCCTGGTGCCCGCACCCGGTGCCAGGGCCGTGCAGCCAGGAGAGGGCCGCCCACAGGGGGCCGCCATCTGTCCGCGCCTCCCGGGCTCCGAGGGGCCGCGGGCCCATCTGCCTGGGAGAGAGGCATTCCCGCTTCTGCAGAATTCCCCGGGCCTGCCAGTTCTTTTTCCTTCCCTTTTCCTTTAAAATTACAAGGAGTGGCCAGATGGGGATGATGATCTCTGAAGGCTTCATCACCTGGCCACTCAGTGTCTATCCTGTAGAATAAAAGGCTCATAGGCACATGGTCCCCTTGACCAGGAGTGCGACCAGCAGGCAGGCCGGCCGGCCAACCGCCCATGTCCCCTCCCCCTGTCCAGGCTGGCCGGACCCCACCCATGCACGAATTCATGCACCGGGCCTCTAATATATATAAACACACACTGAGTGGCCAGAGTATTATGCGTGTGGAGATCATAGTAATCCAGCCACTCAGTGTATATTTTTATGGATTTCAGAGAGGAAGAGAGAGGGAGAGGGAGAGAAACATCCATGATGAGAGAGAATCATGGGTCGGCTGCCTCCTGCACGCCCCCCACTGGGGATCAAGCCTGCAACCCCGGGCCTGTGCCCTTGACCGGGAATCGAACCATGACCTCCTGGTTCAAAGGTCAGTACTCAACCACTGAGCCAACCGACTGGGCTTAAAATGCTGGCTGGTGTGGCTCAGTGGACAGAGCGCCGGCCTGCGGACAGAAGGGTCCCAGGTTCGATTCCGGTCAAGGGCGTGTACCTCAGTGGCGCGCACATCCCCAGTGGGGGGTGTGCAGGAGGCAGCTGATGGATGTTTCTCTCTCATCGATGTTTCTGGCTCTCTGCCCCTCTCCCTTCCTCTCTGTAAAAAAAATCAATAAGATATATATATTTTAAAAAATTTAAGAAATATAAAAATAAATAAGTAAAGGCCAGGGCTGGGTCGGAGGTGAGAGGCCCCCGAAAACGAGGTTCTGAGAGCTGTCCCGGGACGGAAGCCGAGGAGGAAGACAGGCCGAGGTCACCGAGGGCGGAGGCGGAGGTCAGAGTCCGACGCTGGCTCCTGAGAAGGGACAGGGCGCCAGGAACATCGGCACGTGGCTGTGCCGCGGCCTCCAGGGCGGGCGGGGGGCCCAGCAGAGGCGCCCAGTTCCGTGAAGCACTAAGGAGTCCTGCCCAGCCCTCGCCGGTGTGGCTGGGTGGACAGAGCGTCGGCCTGTGTACCCAAAGGTCCCAGGTTCGATTCCGGTCAAGGGCATGGACCTTGGTTGCGGGCACATCCCCAGTGGGGGGGTGTGCAGGAGGCAGCTGATCGATATCTCTCTCTCATGGATGTTTCTCTCTCTCTCTTCCTCTCTGTAAAAAAAATCAATAAAAAATATAAAACAAAGAAATATATATTAAAAAAAAAATACCCAGTTACTGCCACTGTTGCGGTATAGTTGCAAGTAAAAAAAAACACAAATAAATTAAAAAAAACAAATAAATAAAAGAAACAGCTCTACACGCCTGTCTGCCACCCACGGACACACCGGGGACCATCTGGAATGACACCCTTCAGAGGTGAATAACCCCCCTTTGGCTGAATCCCTGAGAATGCGGGGGGGAGGGGGTGTGTACTCCCCAGAGCCCCCCTCTCTGTCCTGAAAGCTGGGGTCCGAGGAGGGGGAGGGGCACAGGCTGGGGCTTAGGCCACCTCCCGGCCTTGTTCCTGCCGCAGACACGCCCGGAGACACACACACACACACACACACACACACACACACACACACACACACGCCTGGTACAGGGACCCCGTGGCTGCCTCCGGGCTGGCTCGGGGCTCCCTCCCCCTGTGACACGGCGGGGGTGTCGCCCAGGGCCATCTCCCTGGCCCCTCGGTGCCCCAGGGCCCAGGCGTTCCCATAATGTCCACCTCCACTCTGCCGGAGGGTCCCCCGGCCCCATCTCCGGCCTCTCTGCCCGTCCTGATGGCCCCCCGGGCAGTGGCTCTGCCTCGGGACAGGACACCCTGTGCTCGGGAACTGCAAACGCCTCCGCCCGGCCGGCGTGGCTCAGGGGTTCAGCGTCGACCTAGGAACCAGGAGGTCCCGGTTCGATTCCCGCTCAGGGCACCGGCCCGGGGTGCAGGCTCCGTCCCCAGTGTGGGGCGTGCAGGAGGCAGCCGGTCCGTGATTCTCTCTCATCCTGGACGTTTTTCTCACTCTCTTTCCCCTCCCTTCCTCTCTGAAAGCAATAAAAATATATTAAAACAGCTGAAATGAGTTTGGCTCAATGGATAGAGCATCGGCCAGCGGACTGAGGGGTCCCAGGTTTGATTCCGGTCAAGGGCATGGACCTTGGTTGTGGGCACATCCCCAGTGGGGGGTATGCAGGAGGCAGCTGATGGATGTTTCTCTCTCGTCGATGTTTCTAGCTCACTATCCCTCTCCCTTCCTCTCTGTAAAAAAATCAGTAAAATATATTTTAAAATATATATACATATTAACAACAACAACAAAAAGAAGCACAGGTCTGCATGGGGCCCAGGCCCAGCCGTCCCTGCCTGAAGCCTGGCTGTC